CTGCAGGTAGTTTAAAGACTATTGTCCAAGATATTGCAGTCCTTTTTACCTTTATAGTATATTAAGTTTTTTGTTTTTATTTTGAATCCAAAAAGTATTGGAAGAAGTTTATGTATACATTGAAATACATTGTTATAGGAATCAAACACATGTAATCATTAGAGACAAAAAGTGTTTCTTCAATGCTTTGTTTCATATTTGTCTCATATGTATATTTATCTATCTATATATGGAACCACACATCTGTACTGATGAAAAACTTGTTTCAGGTTGATGGGAAGGAAGTCCCAGGTCCATTGTTTGATTTTGGTCTCCTGATGTACCACTGTGCTGCCCATCTTGTTGCAAAGGAGAGTGGACCATTTTTCTATTTGTCTAAGCTGGAAGGAGCTAATGAGGCCAAGTTATGGAATGAAATCTTCTGTTGGGCACAGGAGAAACTTGACATTCCTCATGGTATGTCTTTAAGGTTTATTATTTTTATTTATTTCATATTATAAATATTTTTAATAAGTGTATGATCTTAAAGTAGCCAGTGGGGGGAACATTTAGATGGTATTGATATTATTTGTAAGTGCTATTGCATAGTGAATGAAGGTTTTCACATCTTTTTATAGGGTGCAGTGAGTTGGATATGGACATCAGACACCAGGATGGCTTGTACAGTTGGTCAAATAAATTTGCAGCAACCCGAAAGTTATTGAGCTCAATTCAAGCGTAACACTAAAGTCCTGTTGTTAAAAGTAAGCAGCATTAAAAAGGTCCATACAAACTTTGCCACTTGTGTTTTTAATATTTAAGATTAAATGCACAAATGATTGCATAAAAAATATACATTTCCTATCTTAATTTCCTAATTGAATGTTAATACCCTCACATAGCTGGACTACTTACAGCTTACACTCACTACAGGATAAATTCTTCCATGAAAAAGAAGAAAAAAATAATGTTGCTTATATTTGCTTTTCCCTTTCTATATCATTTACACACTAATTATCACATTGATTTGATAGTTTACTCATTGGATAGAAAAAGAATACAATGCAGTCCATAGATGTTTGCTCATATGTGTTCTCCCTTGTTCCATCATGAAGCATCCATGTAACATATATAATCAAGCTGTATGTAATTTAGATGTAGTTAGGCCCTATCATCTTTTTGGAAGAAAGCAGCTGACATTTTCCCACTAAGACAAAAAAGCATGGGAAAATGTGATATGATTGTTTTCTGCAAAAAGGTTCACCTTCTTAAAATTATGTATACTGAAAAGATGCAATGAATAACCATGTATCAATGTGATATTAATATTTTTTTTCTTCCTTTTCCAACTAAGCATTAATATCAATTTAGCCTTAGTAAAGGCTGCAGTTGGGGGAACATTTAGATGGTATTGACAGATGTAAAAGTAGCATGTTTATCAACTGATGTTTTATATGAATTCCGTGACAAATGACAATTTATGTACACAACCGTTTCATGACAAAACAAGGGAGAACAAATGAATATATAAAGAATATTTATTATGGCTCTTTGGACTAACAAACATTGAGGTTAAATGGTGATCAAGTTGTAAATATTATGGAAAGGGAAAAGGAAATATAGACAAAGCACAGTTGCATTATATATTTTACACCCTTTCATATCTATTTAATTTATTCATTTTTATTATTGTTATATTTGTTTTAAAACATTCATCCTTTAACAAGTGTAAGGTGCAAGTATAGCTGAGGGCATTAATATTTGAATGAAGACTTAAGATGTGATATGTTAGTGTTTGTATTATATGCTTTCTTGTGTATTTCTTGTCAAATGTTAAAATTTATGCCACAAAATTTGCTTAGACTTTTCTTACATTGTTTATTTAAGAAAAGGGTTTCTATTGTTATGTACAGACAAAATTCACATTACATAACTACTCAGGATGGGGCAATTACCAGGTGCCAGTGGGTTAACAAATTGCTGATTAATTGTAAAGGGCAATTATTTTGTTCAGAAAAATAAGTTGATGTTAGAGTTTTTTTATGGTCTTCTCTTTTCTGATTAAATTTTTACCCGTTTTTTTTCTTTTAGGAACAATAAAAGCATGTGTTCTGATTGAGAATGTTCTGGCTTCATTTGAGATGGAAGAAATACTCTTTGAATTAAAGGACCATTCTCTTGGGTTAAAATGTGGCATCTGGGATAATAATTACTCAGCATCTTTTGTCAATAAGTTTTGGTAAAGTATATTGTAAATGCCTTAACTAGAATCAACTGTTATTGTCATTATATGTGTGTGAATATGAGTAGATTATTGTGGCAGTATGTTTTTTTTCTCTTCTCTCTCTCGTTTCTTTTTCTTTTTTTTTTTCTTTTCTTTTCTTTGTTCTTTGTTTCTTTCTTTCTTTCTTTCTTCTTCTTTCTTTCTTCTTCTTTTCTTTTCTTTTCCTTTTTTATTTATTGTTTCAAATTTCGGTGGACATCTGTCTTGAGATTATTTTTTTCTACATTTCTTTTTAAG